ACCCATATCCTAGACGGATCCCTAGCATATAATAAAGCTCTCAGCACATCTTCACACTCTCTCATTTCTGATCCTACCCACCACCTTCGTGCCTCCTTATATAATGCTTGCACACCCTTCCCCACACGACCTTCCACTCGGAGAAACCACCTCTTCAAATAGATACACTCAACCCTTAATCTTATATCTATTAAACCCAATCCACCTTATCGACCGGTAGCATAACAACACTCCTACCCAACCAGTCACACCCAGAACCCCATATATAACGAAAAACCTTCTTTAGCATTCTTGTAATGTCCGGTCCTGCCAACGGATATACTGCTGCCACATGCCAAACCATACTGTATAACAAAACATTCACCACCATTACACGTTGATGTATCGTCAAATGCCACCACCCTATCCACCGCCATCCCAGAATTAACCATCTGTGCCTCCCCGGCATTCCCCATATAAACTATCCCACACACCTTTAGTCTATCCACCACACACCAATGCACAACTTTTTCCCAACTTGCCCTCCCTACCCAATTCCCTAAGTCCAATAATTTTGACTTCTCCACATTCACTCTTAAACCCGTAACCCCTTCGAAACCACCAATCACATTCTCCACCTCATGTAAACTTCCCTCCCTTCGCACTAGAATAGTTGTATCATCCACATACCCTATTCCCATCCCTCCATTCTCCACACCACGATCCACCCCCAAAACATCTCCCCATCGCCCTATAGAAAGGGTCTTGTATACAAGCAAACAGTTGAGACAGAGGACAACCCTGCCTTATGCCCCATCCCATTAAAACCCACTCTCCCAGTTTCCCATTCACCAGCACATGTACACCCACCCCATTGTACAAAGTCTCAACCCAATGAACCATCTCTTCCCCAAAACCCTGCCTCCGTAAGATATACCACAGCACCTCACATTCCACACAATCATACGCTGCCTGCCAATCCAATGCTAAGACACCTCCCCCCCTTATTCTCCCCTCCATACTTTCCACATAATCTTTTATTATTCCATGCCCCTCATACATCATCCTCCCAGGCACCCCATACTGACCTCTCGCAACTGCTCAATCACGCACTTAGGCCTATTCCCCAAGATTTTTGCGAATATCTTATAATCAGCACATAGCAGTGACAATGCCCTGTAGTTCTGCACTGTAGTAGGGCCTTCCCTTTTAGGAATCAAAACTACTACTGCCGTACTCTGCAACTCACTCATCCTCCCTTCACTTTTCATGATAATCATCAGTTTCACTAAAAAATTCTTCAAAACACTCCAATGCCTCACATAGAATTCACAGGGTAACCCATCTACACCTGGCACTTTACCTCTTGCCATATCCTCCAAAGCTCTCCATACCTCCCCTTCTTCAACATCCTCACCCAATGCCGTTCAATCACTGCCACTCATCGCACGAGGTACATTCACTCCCAATCTCCCTACATCCCCCTTTCACTCCTACACTCAGCAAATATCTTCTAAACCACCTATCCACAAAACCACTCATTCCCTCTGTAGTTCGCAACACCTGACCCCTCTTGTACCCACCTAAGTTCTCATGCACTACCAACTTATCAATCTCCATTGCCAACCTGCGCCTCCACTGGCCCCTTAACACACAGGCCGACGCCCTGTCATCCCACATCGCCTCCTACAACCCACCCTGCACCCTTACCTCATCGAATCTGTCATTGTGCATGTCTCTTATCTGCCTCTTTAATGCTTCAATTTCCTCCACGGGATACACACCTACTACAGCACCCCTCTTATAACAATCCTGCAATCGCCCCTCTAAATACTGTTGGAGCCCATATGTCATCCAAGCCTCGTTCTTTCCCCTTTGCACATAATATTGCCTTATCCTCCTCTTTGCAACCCCATCCCACAACCCCAATAAATCACCTGCACCCCTACCCTCACCCCATAGCTCCTCCCACAAACTTTCAAAATCCCCTCCCTCCACCCCCTCCCAAGAAGTCGTACATTCAACTTCCAGTACCCCGAATATCACTTAAGCAAACCATCCTGAATCAAATCTGCATAAACTGCCCTAAGATCCGAATAAACGACATTTACTACCTGTACCCTTATCATCCTCACACCCTTCGTCACATACAACCTATCTAGCTGTGCAGCATAACCCCTTCTATGAAATGTGTGCTAAACCTCGCAATCCACACCACCAACTATATCCCCCAATCCCACACCTTGCAAAAGATCTCCTAAACCTGCCAAAAAACACCCTGCCCCCCTCGGCTCCACATCCTTCCTATGCACCACACAGTTCCAATTGCCACCGACTATTGCCACTGATGGCAAGGACCACAAAAAATATACCAATACATCATGCACAAATTCATTCTTTACCCTCGCATCATTCTCAGCCGGCACATACACACAAACTACTATCATCCTCTCACCTCTCCACCACCCATCTATCCGTAGCACACGACCTTTTCCCCTTCGCTCCTAAGAACAACAAACGGGCTCGTCTCTCGGATCAGGATTCCCACCCCTCTCTTCAATCGCTCAGAATACATCACAAACACTCTGTACACATCCACCTCCAATTCCCGTCCTAGCTTGAAATTATGTTCCTGCACAAAAACAATGTCTATAGCATAACGCCGTAAAAATCCCTGTACCCACAGACGCTTCTCACTGGCACGCAATCCATTAATATCCACTGTCATACACCGGAAACCTACTTATGTGATTTCACCCGCTGCCCTATTTCACCTTTCACTGACACGCTACCAGCGTGTCTACTGCCACCTCTCTCTCTCCACTGACCGCTTGAGGCCTCCCCCGATCCAACACCGGACCAGGCATACCTTTGGGGCTCCCATGCAACACATCTATCCACGGCTTTTTCCCCGGCCTCTGTGCCGGGGTCAAAACATCATCCGAGTCGGATTGTGTCGCCGCCCTCTTGCGGTTGACACTCTCCGCATCCATCTCCAACTAACTGGATGCCTCCCGGTGAATCTTAGCATTCACCTCAATCACTTTTACCACTCCTGGCGAATCATCTTCCACATTCGCCCATCTTCCAAGTTGCTCGTCCTCACTCAGCACAGGACTCCTCACCAACCTCACGTCGTCCGCAGAACCCTTCTCAAAGGACTTTTCCTTCACTTTCACCAGAAAGTCTGCCTCCACCCACACTTTGCTACTCTGCACAGTCTTCCCCATCTCCAAGGCAGAGGCCTCAGATCCCACTATCTGTGACAGAGACGGGCTGGTACCCACCAGTGGCAGCTCACGCTCCACTTCCTCACTCCAGGAAGTGCCACTTCCACGTACAGATGAATCCTCAGCATGACCCACCTCCGGTTCTGATTCTTTCTCCGTCTCAGGACCTGGTTCCTGTCGCCGCTGCCATCTCCCACACTGGGCCGCCATATGGTCGCATGCATCGCATAACCTACAAGTCTTCCGCTGCCCAGCGTAGTACACCATCAGCTACGTCCTAAATTCGTCCAGTATGACGTAAGACGGGATGGAACGCGTCAACGTCATCTTCCGGCAAGCCGGCGTACGCCCCATCCGCCCATTTACCAGCCATCGCCAGGTGTACAGTTCCATACTGTTCAAATACGTTCCTCAGGTCAGTCTCGTCCGCCTTAAATGGCACATTTCGGACTTTCACCCAGGTATAGTGCCGAGACACATCGATGAGGCGAACACGTGTCGCCGAGTTAACATCCACACTCCCGTCCTGGTACTTGTCGACCAGCCGTTCATACACTCCAGCTGAACTTAACTTGAAAATACGATAGGCCCCGTTGAGCACAACACCATAGGTGTCACCGATAATTTGCGGTAAAAGCACTTGCGCAAACTGAGGCGTTATTGCACCACGCACCAATTCAATGCACACTGTGTGCACACGCCTCCTCACAGACTGCACCATTTTGTGAAAATATGAGTCTCATGTATAAACGTAAGTAACCATTCTACAGAATTCATTACCTTTGTAACTTGTGAGCTCATTACCTTTGTACCTAGTTCAGCTATCAAAACTTTGGGGGCCCAGTCCCTGGACCCATTACGTACCTCTGTAATCTGTAAATACTTTTGTAACTTGACATGATTGTGACCAGACCTACCTGGAGTTCATTACCTTTGTAAATTGTGAGTTCATTACCTTTGTAAATTGTGAGTTCATTACCTCTGTAAATTGTGAGTTCATTACCTTTGTAAATTGTGAGTTCATTACCTCTGTAACTTGCTCAGCTATCAAAACTTTGGAGTCCAGTCCCTGGACCAATTATGTGCCTCTGTAATCTTTTGACTACCGCCCACAGGATGGGTATGGGGTGCATAATAAACATATTAAACTAACTAAACTCCAATGGCCAGTAGAGGGCAAGAGTCACACGTCTGCACTCTGCTCAGATCAAGCGGCGAATCTCATCCAATAGTAAAGATGGTTTTGGAGATTTCCTCTGAACCAAGATTCCATGATGTTGTAGTAGTGTCTGACATGTTATACATGAGTGGTATAGAGTACCAACAAAATGAAGAATTAAACATGTGCAACATCTAGGTATCTTAGTTGCACATATACCAAATTCTTAGTAAGTACGCTTATTCATGTACAGATTCCCCTTTAATACAGTTACGTAAATTATCATACATAGCAGCATATGTGTAGATTACTTGGGAAAACCTAGAAAGTTAGATGCTGCATGTTAACTGCTACTGTTTTATGAATTATTATACCGTAATCCATGAAACAGTGTTTAACATAACTCTCGGTGTATATACAGTATTCTATATTATTATATTTTTATTACGACTATTACTACTTTTATTGTAATTTTATTATATTCAAAAATATTTTCCTAAAATTATTAATATTATAATTATTGTTAATATTGTAATTATTATTATTATTTTTATTATTATTATTGCTGTTGTTCTTGTTAGAAGATATTGATTATAAGACTTAATCAACTGAAATATGAAGCTGCTACTTACTGTCACAACAAATACAGTCGGATCCAATACAAGTGTTGTTTGCTAGAGGATTTTTACAGAGTTTAACGTCCATACAAACACCCGAACAGTTGTTAGTAACAGGGCAGTTGGTGTATCGTGGAGTGCAGCACTTACAACCAGGACTGATACATCCTCCCTCCACCTCAAGCTCACCACTGTAACAACGTTCTCTACACACACCATTGCTTCCATTACATATCGGTTGAGCATAACATTCTGTTAAAAAATGTCAGACAAACTGTAATTAGATGAGAACAATTATTAACGCATTTCACGGAATTGTTACAATTGAATATTAGGATTTTTTTTTCACTGATAATTGCTATAGAAAGGATATGTTATAGATCAACTATAAGCATCTGGCAAGATGGATTAGAACCTTTTAAAATGGGTCTCTAGGACTGAAGCAGTGATGGGAACTAAACTCAAATAAAAAGCATTCCTTGACTGAGATTCTGTAAATTACCCTCAGTGTTTTTGTGTTGAGTGGAGATCAGAGGATTGACGGATCACGGTAGTCACGGTATTCCATACACACACACACACACACACACACACACACACACACACACACACACACACACACACACACACACACACACACACACAAGCACACATCAATCAGATAACTGCTGCAGCATATGGGCGCCTGGCAAACCTGAGAACAGCATTCCGATACCTGTAAGGAATCATTCAAGACACTGTACACCGTGTATGTCAGGCCCATACTGGAGTATGCAGCACCTGTTTGGAACCCGCACTTGATAAAGCACGTCAAGAAACTAGAGAAAGTACAAAGGTTTGCGACAAGGTTAGTTCCAGAGCTAAGGGGAATGTCCTATGAAGAAAGATTAAGGGAAATCGGCCTGACGACACTGGAGGACAGGAGGGTCAGGGGAGACATGATAACGACATATAAAATACTGCGTGGAATAGACAAGGTGGACAAAGACAGGATGTTCCAGGGAGGGGACACAGAAACAAGAGGCCACAATTGGAAGTTGAAGACACAAATGAGTCAAAGAGATATTAGGAAGTATTTCTTCAGTCATAGAGTTGTAAGGCAGTGGAATAGCCTAGAAAATGACGTAGTGGAGGCAGGAACCATACACAGTTTTAAGACGAGGTTTGATAAAGCTCATGGAGCGGGGAGAGAGAGGGCCTAGTAGCAACCGGTGAAGAGGCGGGGCCAGGAGCTAGGACTCGACCCCTGCAACCACAAATAGGTGAGTACAAATAGGTGAGTACACACACAGTATGGGCTAGGTGGACAAAGACTGCAAACCTCACTCAAGGAGAAAGATCTTGGGGTGACCATAACACCGAGCATGTCTCCGGAGGCACACATCAACCAGATAACTGCTGCAGCATACGGACGCCTGGCAAACCTGAGAATAGCGTTCCGATACCTTAGTAAAGAACCGTTCAAGACACTGTACACTGTGTACGTCAGGCCCATACTGGAGTATGCAGCACCAATTTGGAACCCACACCTGGTCAAGCACGTCAGGCTAGTTCCGGAGCTCAGGGGAATGTCCTACGAAGAAAGGTTGAAGGAAATCGGACTGACGACATTGGAGGACATTAGGGTCAGGGGAGACATGATAACGACATACAAAATACTGTGTGGCATAGATAAGATGGACAAAGACAGGATGTTCCAGGGAGGGGACACAGAAAGAAGGGGTCACAATTGGAAGCTGAAGACTCAGACGAGTCACAGGGATGTTAAGAAGTATTTCTTCATCAATAGAGTAGTCAGGAACTGGAATAGCCTAGCAAGTGATGTAGTGGAGGCAAGAACCATACGTAGCTTTAAGACGAGGTATGACAAAGCTCAGGAAGCAGAGAGAGAACCTAGTAGCGATCAGTGAAGAGGTGGGGCCAGGAGCTGAGTATCGACCCCTGCAACCACAATTAGGTGAGTACAGTTAGGTGAGTACACACACAAAAGGATGGAACAATAGTGGGAGAGAAAATTAGGAGAGCTTTCTGCAAAAATGGAGACATAACTTTCTGTGAAATTGGAAAAGAAGTTGGAGGAGAAGAAGAATTGGGAGCCACAAGTCAAAACTGCAGTAGCCAGGATAAAGGTCCTAAAAGATGAGGTAAACAGGCTGAAGCGAGTTACATGGGTATTGACCAGAGAAGACACAGCGTATGAAGCTGGGAGGCCAAACAGGAAAGATGGAGATATAAATTATGCTAAGGTCATATCAGCATTCCAAGAAGGGCCAAGGAGTGAAAGGGGAGAGCAGCTGGGCACTGAATGAGAGGGTGAAAGGTCAGATGCAGAGGCAGGACCATGCTACCAAGAGCTACTGGAAAATACAAGGGAGAAAATGGCCATGTACAGACAGGAACCAGAGACACAGATGGAAAGGCAATGGGAGGAGGAAAGGGCAAAATCACTGTTTATTCATGGGCTTCAGGAGAGCGAGGGAACAACATACACTGAAAGACAGCAGGCAAAATGAAAGAAGATTGAGAACATCTTCACAGAAACAGGTGAAGAGGACATGGAGGAGACTAAATTTTCAGAGAATAGCGGGGGGGGGGTACTTGAAGGGGAGAAAACAACTGATCAAGCTGATTTTCAGGACAGAAACAGTGCAGAACAGGATCCACCAAGAGAAACCATGGTTGAAGTACTCGGCAGAATACAAGAGGGTGTTCCTAGACAGAGACAGAATACAAACAGAACAACAGCAGCTGAGGGAGAGGACACAAAAGCGAAAGGAGCTAGGAAGGGAGACAAGGACAGAATCAGCAGAGGTCAGTCAGAGCATGGCAGTGCAACAAGAGCAAGCATACACAGAACCATCTTCAGAACCCCACAACCTATCTATCACACCATCCCAACACAAACTACAATCCATATTCACAGCTTCCACTCAACACTCAGCTATAGAATCCCACAATACACTACCAGGTCCCCCACCCTCACAGACCCCCCAAAACACAGTGGAAACTGAAGGTATGGTACACAAACACTGAAGGAATAACAAATAAGTGGGAGGAGTGGCACGATAGAGCCAAAGAGGCATCACAAGACATCATAGCTCTCACAGAAACCAAGCTCACAGGTATGATAACAGATGCCATCTTTTCAATGGGATATCAGATCCTGAGGAAAGACAGAGGGAACAGGGGGGGTGGAGGAGTGGCACTGCTGATCAAAAGCTGATGCGATTTTTATGAGCTGGAGAAAGGAGACAGAGGAGAAGCAAGAGATTACATAGTGCTAACGCTTCAGTCTAAAGGTCCAAAGGTGGTTATTGCAGTGATGTATAACTCACCACAGAACAGCAGAAGGCCAAGGCAAGAGTATGATGAGAGTAATAGAGCGATGGTCGACACACTGGCTGAGGTGGCCAGAAGGGCTCATGCGAGCAGGGCAAAGCTACTGATCATGTGTGACTTCAACCACAAGGAAATCAACTGGGAGAACTTTGAGCCACATGGGGGCCAAGAAACGTGGAGGGCTAAGATGATGGAGGAGGTACTGAGAAACCTCACGTACCAACATGTGAAGGACACTCTTGAGTAGTGCAGATATTGAGGACATCACATGTGAAAGTCCTCTGGGGGCCAGTGATCATATGGTTTTAAGCTTCGAATACACAGTAGAGTTACAAGTGGAGGGGGAAGCAGGAAGGGTAGGACAAGTGAAGCCATACTACAAGAAAGGGGACTACACAAGCATGAAGAACTTCCTGAACGGGGTTCAGTGGGACAGAAAATTGGCAGGGAAGTCAGTAGACGAGATGATGGAATATGTGACAACAAAATGCAAGGAAGCTGAGGAGAGGTTTGTACCCAAGGGCAACAGGTATACTGAAAAAACCAGGATGAGCCCATGGTTCACCCAAATGTGCAGGGAGGCCAAAATCAAGTGTGCTATAGAGTAGAAGAAATATAGAAGGCAAAGGACCCAGGAGAATAAGGAGACTAATTGTAGAGCCAGAAATGAATATGCACAGGTATGACAGGAGGCCCAAAGGCAATATGAGAATGACATAGCAGCGAAAACCAAATCTGACCCAAAGCTGTTGTACATTATTATTATTATAATCAAAAAGAAGCGCTAAAAGCTGTTGTACAGCCACATCAGGAGGAAAACAACAGTCAAGGACCAGGTAATCAGGCTGCGGAAGGAAGGAGGGAGGTCACAAAAAACGACCACGAAGTATGTGAGGAGCTCAGCATGAGATTCAAAGAAGTGTTCACAGAGGAGACAGAAGGGCCTCCAGAAAGGCAGGGAGGTGGGGTACACCATCAAGTATAGGACACAATACATACAACCGAGGAAGAAGTAAAGAGGCTGTTAAGCGAGCTAGATACCTCAAAGGCGATGGGGCTAGGTAACATCTCTCCATGGGTCCTGAGAGAGGGAGCAGAGGCGCTTTGTGGACCACTAACAACAATCTTCAACACATCTATCGAAACAGGGCGGCTACCGGAAGTATGGAAGACAACAAATGTAGTCCCAATTTTTCAAAAAGGAGACAGACACGAAGCATGAAACTTCAGACCCACCGCCTCGATGACGACGCCACATACAACGAGGAGTCGCCACTACCTCTCCATCTATTACCTCTCCTACTCTTCCTTCTTTCACTCCCCTACCTCCCCTCCCCCACCGCTTTAAAAAAAAAAAAATCCAATGGAGCCTGTACCGCTTTCTAGGTAAAAGTTTGAACCCACCTAGAACCCATGCCACACTACCAACAACTTGACGGGGCAACAAGTGCCCGAAGACCCTCGACCCTGGCGATGCCTGCCGATGAAGCCCAAGTGGACGCCTGCTGATGAAGACCAAGTGACGCCTGCTGATGAAGATGAGAAGCGAGAAGACACTCCCCTCCGGGCAGTCGCCGCAAGAGAGAAGAAGATGTTGCCCTCCAGCCGGAGGGCCCAAGAAAGAAGGCAGAAGAAAGAAGAAGATGAACGACACCCCCAACCCGGGGCCGCAGCCGGGTCACCATATGGAGAAGACCCGGGCCGGAAGTACAGGCAAACCTCTAATGAATGAATGAACCAGTGTCACTGACGTGTATAATATGCAAGGTCACGGAGAAAATTATCAGGAGAAGAGTAGTGGATCACCTAGAATGGAATCATCAGCTTATCAACGACAGCCAGCATGGTTTTAGGGATGGGAAATCCTGTGTCACAAACCTACTGGAGTTTTTTGACAGGGTCACGGCTGTAAG